GTGTACACTAATGGTCCAGCCCCACTGTACACTAATGGTCCAGCCTCACTGTGTACACTAATGGTCCAGCCTCACTGTGTACACTAATGGTCCAGCCTCACTGTGTACACTAATGGTCCAGCCACACTGTGTACACTAATGGTCCAGCCTCACTGTGTACACTAATGGTCCAGCCTCACTGTGTACACTAATGGTCCAGCCTCACTGTGTACACTAATGGTCCAGGCTCACTGTACACTAATGATCCAGCGTCACTGTGTACACTAATGGTCCAGCCTCACTGTGTACACTAATGGTCCAGCCTCACTGTGTACACTAATGGTCCAGCCCCACTGTGTACACTAATGGTCCAGCCTCACTGTACACTAATGATCCAGCGTCACTGTGTACACTAATGGTCCAGCCACACTGTACACTAATGGTTCAGCGTCATTGTGTACACTAATGGTCCAGCCACACTGTACACTAATGGTCCAACCACACTGTACACTAATGGTCCAGCCACACTGTACACTAATGGTCCAGCCACACTGTACACTAATGGTCCAGCCATACTGTACACTAATGGTCCAGCCCCACTGTACACTAATGGTCCAGGCTCACTGTATACACTAATGGTCCAGGAACACCGTATACACTAATGGTCCAGGAACACTGTGTACACTAATGGTCCAGCCCCACTGTACACTAATGGTCCAGCCCCACTGTACACTAATGGTCCAGGCTCACTGTACACACTAATGGTCCAGGAACACTGTGTACACTAATGGTCCAGGAACACTGTGTACACTAATGGTCCAGGAACACTGTATACACTAATGGTCCAGGAACACTGTGTACACTAATGGTCCAGCCCCAATGTGTACACTAATGGTCCAGCCCCACTGTGTACACTAATGGTCCAGCCACACTGTGTACACTAATGGTCCAGGCTTACTGTACACTAATGGTCCAGCCACACTGTACACTAATGGTCCAGCCTCACTGTGCACACTAATGGTCCAGCCACACTGTACACTAATGGTCCAGCCCCACTGTGTACACTAATGGTCCAGGCTCACTATGTACATTAATGGTCCAGCCTCACTGTGTACACTAATGGTTCAGCCTCACTGTGTACACTAATGGTCCAGCCTCACTGTGTACATTAATGGTCCAGCCACACTGTGTACACTAATGGTCCAGCCTCACTGTGTGCACTAATGGTCCAGCCCCACTGTGTACACTAATGGTCCAGCCCCACTGTGTACACTATTGGTCCAGCCTCACTGTACACTAATGGTCCAGCCCCACTGTGTACACTAATGGTCCAGCCCCACTGTACACTAATGGTCCAGCCCCACTGTACACTAATGGTCCAGCCACACTGTGTACACTAATGGTCCAGCTCTACTGTACACTAATGGTCCAGCCACACTGTGTACACTAATGGTCCAGCCACACTGTGTACACTAATGGTCCAGCCCCACTGTACACTAATGGTCCAGCCACACTGTGTACACTAATGGTCCAGCCACACTGTACACACTAATGGTCCAGGAACACTGTGTACACTAATGGTCCAGCCTCACTGTGTACACTAATGGTCCAGCCCCACTGTGTACACTAATGGTCCAGCCTCACTGTACACTAATGGTCCAGCCTCACTGTGTACACTAATGGTCCAGCCACACTGTGTACACTAATGGTCCAGCCACACTGTACACTAATGGTCCAGCCTCACTGTACACTAATGGTCCAGCGTCACTGTGTACACTCTTGGTCCAGCCCCACTGTGTACACTAATGGTCCAGCCTCACTGTACACTAATGGTCCAGCCTCACTGTGTACACTAATGGTCCAGCCACACTGTACACTAATGGTCCAGCCCCACTGTGTACACTAATGGTCCAGCCACACTGTACACTAATGGTCCAGCCTCACTGTACACTAATGGTCCAGCGTCACTGTGTACACTAATGGTCCAGCGTCACTGTGTACACTAATGGTCCAGCCCCACTGTACACTAATGGTCCAGCCTCACTGTGTACACTAATGGTCCAGCCTCACTGTGTACACTAATGGTCCAGCCTCACTGTGTACACTAATGGTCCAGCCCCACTGTGTACACTAATGGTCCAGCCACACTGTGTACACTAATGGTCCAGCCTCACTGTGTACACTAATGGTCCAGGCTCACTGTATAATAATGATCCAGCGTCACTGTGTACACTAATGGTCCAGCCTCACTGTGTACAGTAATGGTCCAGCCTCACTGTGTACACTAATGGTCCAGCCTCACTGTACACTAATGATCCAGCCTCACTGTGTACGCTAATGGTCCAGCCTCACTGTGTACGCTAATGGTCCAGCCTCACTGTGTACACTAATGGTCCAGCCTCACTGTGTACACTAATGGTCCAGCCTCACTGTGTACACTAATGGTCCAGCCACACTGTGTACACTAATGGTCCAGCCTCACTGTGTACACTAATGGTCCAGCCTCACTGTGTACACTAATGGTCCAGGCTCACTGTATAATAATGATCCAGCCTCACTGTGTACGCTAATGGTCCAGCCTCACTGTGTACACTAATGGTCCAGCCTCACTGTGTACACTAATGGTCCAGCCTCACTGTGTACACTAATGGTCCAGCCTCACTGTGTACACTAATGGTCCAGCCTCACTGTACACTAATGATCCAGCCTCACTGTGTACGCTAATGGTCCAGCCTCACTGTGTACGCTAATGGTCCAGCCTCACTGTGTACACTAATGGTCCAGCCTCACTGTGTACACTAATGGTCCAGCCTCACTGTGTACACTAATGGTCCAGCCTCACTGTGTACACTATTGGTCCAGCCTCACTGTGTACACTAATGGTCCAGCCTCACTGTGTACACTAATGGTCCAGCCACACTGTGTACACTAATGGTCCAGCCTCACTGTGTACACTAATGGTCCAGCCTCACTGTGTACACTAATGGTCCAGGCTCACTGTATAATAATGATCCAGCGTCACTGTGTACACTAATGGTCCAGCCTCACTGTGTACAGTAATGGTCCAGCCTAACTGTGTACACTAATGGTCCAGCCTCACTGTGTACACTAATGGTCCAGGCTCACTGTATAATAATGATCCAGCGTCACTGTGTACACTAATGGTCCAGCCCCACTGTGTACACTAATGGTCCAGCCACACTGTGTACACTAATGGTCCAGCCACACTGTGTACAGTAATGGTCCAGCCTCACTGTGTACACTAATGGTCCAGCCACACTGTGTACACTAATGGTCCAGCCTCACTGTGTACAGTAATGGTCCAGCCTCACTGTGTACACTAATGGTCCAGCCCCACTGTGTACACTAATGGTCCAGCCTCACTGTACACTAATGATCCAGCATCACTGTGTACACTAATGGTCCAGCCCCACTGTACACTAATGGTTCAGCGTCATTGTGTACACTAATGGTCCAGCCCCACTGTACACTAATGGTCCAGCCCCACTGTACACTAATGGTCCAGCCACACTGTACACTAATGGTCCAGCCACACTGTACACTAATGGTCTAGCCACACTGTACACTAATGGTCCAGCCACACTGTACACTAATGGTCCAGCCATACTGTACACTAATGGTCCAGCCCCACTGTACACTAATGGTCCAGGCTCACTGTACACTAATGATCCAGCCTCACTGTGTACACTAATGGTCCAGCCTCACTGTGTACACTAATGGTCCAGCCACACTGTACACTAATGGTCCAGCCACACTGTCCACTAATGGTCCAGCCACACTGTACACTAATGGTCCAGCCACACTGTACACTAATGGTCCAGCCACACTGTGTACACTAATGGTCCAGCCTCACTGTGTACACTAATGGTCCAGCCCCACTGTGTACACTAATGGTCCAGCCTCACTGTACACTAATGGTCCAGCGTCACTGTGTACACTAATGGTCCAGCCCCACTGTACACTAATGGTCCAGCGTCACTGTGTACACTAATGGTCCAGCTACACTGTACACTAATGGTCCAGCGTCACTGTGTACACTAATGGTCCAGCCACACTGTACACTAATGGTCCAGCGTCACTGTGTACACTAATGGTCCAGCCTCACTGTTTACACTGATGGTCCAGCCACACTGTGTACACTAATGGTCCAGCCTCACTGTTTACACTGATGGTCCAGCCACACTGTGTACACTAATGGTCCAGCCTCACTGTACACTAATGGTCCAGCCTCACTGTTTACACTGATGGTCCAGCCACACTGTGTACACTAATGGTCCAGCCACACTGTGTACACTAATGGTCCAGCCCCACTGTACACTAATGGTCCAGCCACACTGTGTACACTGATGGTCCAGCCCCACTGTACACTAATGGTCCAGCCACACTGTGTACACTAATGGTCCAGCCACACTGTGTGCACTAATGGTCCAGCCACACTGTGTACACTAATGGTCCAGCCACACTGTGTACACTAATGGTCCAGCCACACTGTGTACACTAATGGTCCAGCCACACTGTGTACACTAATGGTCCAGCCACACTGTGTACACTAATGGTCCAGCCCCACTGTACACTAATGGTCCAGCCACACTGTGTACACTAATGGTCCTGCCCCACTGTACACTAATGGTCCAGCCTCACTGTGTACACTAATGGTCCAGCCACACTGTGTACACTAATGGTCCAGCCCCACTGTACACTAATGGTCCAGCCACACTGTGTACACTAATGGTCCAGCCACACTGTGTACACTAATGGTCCAGCCCACTGTGTACACTAATGGTCCAGCCTCACTGTGTACACTAATGGTCCAGCCACACTGTGTACACTAATGGTCCAGCCCCACTGTACACTAATGGTCCAGCCTCACTGTGTACACTAATGGTCCAGCCCCACTGTACACTAATGGTCCAGCCACACTGTACACTAATGGTCCAGCCACACTGTACACTAATTGTTCAGCCTCACGTTGTACCATAATAATCCTCCCAGCTCATGGGATGTGGACAAAAGCATGTTGGTGCTACACAGACGCTCATGGAGGCGACACAGACACTCATGGAGGCGACACAGACCCTCATGGTGGCGACACAGACACTCATGGTGGCGACACAGACACTTAGGGTGGCAACACAGATACTCATGGTGGCGACACAGACGCTCATGGTGGCGACACAGACACTCATGGTGGCGACACAGACACTCATGGTGGCGACACAGACACTCATGGAGGCGACACAGACGGTCATGGTGGCGACACAGACACTCATGGTGGCGACACAAACACTCAGGGTGGCGACACAGACGGTCATGGTGGCGACACAGACACTCATGGTGGCGACGCAGACGCTCATGGTGGCGACACAGACACTCATGGTGGCGACACAGACGGTCATGGTGGCGACTCAGACACTCATGGTGGCGACACAGACACTCATGGTGGCGACACAGACACTCGTGGTGGCGACACAGACACTCATGGTGGCGACACAGACGGTCATGGTGGCGACACAGACACTCATGGTGGCGACACAGACGCTCATGGTGGCGACACAGACACTCATGGTGGCGACACAGACGGTCATGGTGGCGACACAGACACTCATGGTGGCGACACAGACACTCATGGTGGCGACACAGACACTCATGGTGGCGACACAGACACTCATGGTGGCGACACAGACACTCATGGTGGCGACACAGACACTCATGGTGGCGACACAGACACTCATGGAGGCGACACAGACGGTCATGGTGGCGACACAGACACTCATGGTGGCGACACAGACACTCATGGTGGCGACACAGACACTCATGGTGGCGACACAGACACTCATGGTGGCGACACAGACACTCATGGTGGCGACACAGACACTCATGGTGGCGACACAGACACTCATGGTGGCGACACAGACACTCATGGTGGCGACACAGACGGTCATGGTGGCGACACAGACACTCATGGTGGCGACACAGACGCTCATGGTGGCGACACAGACACTAATGGTGGCGACACAGACGCTCATGGTGGCGACACAGACGGTCATGGTGGCGACACAGACACTCATGGTGGCGACACAGACGCTCATGGTGGCGAAACAGACGCTCATGGTGGCGACACAGACACTCATGGTGGCGACACAGACGGTCATGGTGGCGACACAGACACTCATGGTGGCGACACAGACACTCATGGTGGCGACACAGACACTCATGGTGGCGACACAGACACTCATGGTGGCGACACAGACACTCATGGTGGCGACACAGACGGTCATGGTGGCGACACAGACACTCATGGTGGCGACACAGACACTCATGGTGGCGACAGACACTCATGGTGGCGACACAGACGGTCATGGTGGCGACACAGACACTCATGGTGGCGACACAGACGGTCATGGTGGCGACACAGACACTCATGGAGGCGACACAGACGCTCATGGAGGCGACACAGACGCTCATGGTGGCGACACAGACGCTCATGGTGGCGACACAGACCCCCACACAGCCCCTACACGCGACAGAGACGGAGCGCCGGTGACAGATCACCTCCAACAAACCCGAGAAATTGTTTCTTATTTTGCAGACAAAAAGTTTGTCTTACGGCCACTTTAAGAGCGGAGAATGTTGGCGAGAGTTGTGTGGTGGCTCAGAGTGGTGGCTCGACCCGTCTTGAGGGTCCGGGTTCCAGGTACTTCTTGGTGCTCCTCCGCCAGGGCCAGGTAGACATGGGGCGCCGGAAGTGGTGGTCTTGGGGGGGGGGGGGGGGGGGAATTGAAGCTGAAGCTGTGCAACACTTTGTCTGGGGGAACTGAAGCTGTGCAACACTTTGTCTGGGGAACTGAAGCTGTGCAACACTTTGTCTGGGGGAACTGAAGCTGTGCAACACTTTGTCTGGGGTAACTGAAGCTGTGTAACACATTGTCTGGGGAACTGAAGCTGTGCAACACTTTGTCTGGGGGTAACTGAAGCTGTGCAACACTGTCCGGGGAACTGAAGCTGTGCAACACTTCGTCTGAGGAACTGAAGCTGTGCAACACTGTTTTTGGGAATTGAAGCTGTGCAACACTGTCTTTGGGAATTGAAGCTGTGCAACACTTTGTCTGGGGGGAACTGAAGCTGTGTAACACTTTGTCTGGGGGAACTGAAGCTGTGCAACACTTTGTCTGGGGAACTGAAGCTGTGCAACACTTTATCTGGGGGTAACTGAAGCTGTGCAACACTTTGTCTGGGGAACTGAAGCTGTGCAACACTGTCCGGGGAACTGAAGCTGTGCAACACTTCGTCTGAGGAACTGAAGCTGTGCAACACTGTCTTTGGGAATTGAAGCTGTGCAACACTTTGTCTGGGGGAACTGAAGCTGTGCAACACTTGACTGGGAAACTGAAGCTGTACAACACTGCCTGGGGAAACTGAAGCTGTGCAACACTTGACTGGGAAACTGAAGCTGTACAACACTGCCTGGGGAAACTGAAGCTGTGCAACACTTTGTCTGAGGAACTGAAGCTGTGGAACACTTTGTCTGAGGAACTGAAGCTGTGCAACACTTTGTCTGTGGGAACTGAAGCTGTGCAACACTTTGTCTGGGAAACTGAAGCTGTGCAACACTTTGTCTGGGGGGAACTGGAGCTGTGCAACACTTTGTCTGGGAAACTGAAGCTGTACAACACTGTCTGGGGGAACTGAAGCTGTGAAACACTGTCTGGGGTTAACTGAAGCTGTGCAACACTTTGTCTGGGGGAACTGAAGCTGCACAACACTTGGTCTGGGGAAGTGAAGCTGTGCAACACTGTCTGGGGGAACTGAAGCTGTGCAACACTGTCTGGGGAAAATGAAGCTGTGCAACACTTTGTCTGTTGGAACTGAAGCTGTGCAACACTTTGTCTTGGGGGAACTGAAGCTGTGCAACACTTTGTCTGGGGAACTGAAGCTGTGCAACACTGTCTGGGGAAAATGAAGCTGTGCAACACTTTGGGGAAAATGAAGCTGTGCAACACTTTGTCTGGGGAACTGAAGCTGTGCAACACTTTGTCTGAGGAATTGAAGCTGTGCACCACTTTGTCTGGGGAACTGAAGCTGTGCAACGCTTTTGGGAAAACGAAGCTGTGCAACACTGTCTGGGGAAAATAAAGCTGTGCAACACTTTGTCTGGGGAAAATGAAGCTGTGCAACACTGTCTGGGGAAAATGATGCTGTGCAACACTTTGTCTGGGGAACTGAAGCTGTGCAACACTGTCTGGGGGAACTGAAGCTGTGCAACACTTTGTCTGGGGAAAAGGAAGCTGTGCAACACTGTCTGGGGAAAATGAAGCTGAGCAACACTGTCTGGGGAAAATGAAGCTGTGCAACACTTTGTCTGGGGAAAATGAAGCTGTGCAACACTTTGTCTGGGGAAAATGAAGCTGTGCAACACTGTCTGGGGAAAATGAAGCTGTGCAACACTGTCTGGGGGGCAAAATGAAGCTGTGCAACACTGTCTGGGGAACTGAAGCAGTGCAACACTGTCTGGGGGAACTGAAGCTGTGCAACACTTTGTCTGGGGAACTGAAGCTGTGCAACACTGTCTGGGGAAAATGAAGCTGTGCAACACTGTCTGGGGAAAATGAAGCTGTGCAACACTTTGTCTGGGGAAAATGAAGCTGTGCAACTCTGTCTGGGGAAAATGAAGCTGTGCAACACTGTCTGGGGGGAAAATGAAGCTGTGCAACACTGTCTGGGGAAAATGAAGCTGTGCAACACTGTCTGGGGGAAAATGAAGCTGTGCAATACTTTGTCTGGGGAACTGAAGCTGTGCAACACTGTCTGGGGAAAATGAAGCTGTGCAACACTGTCTGGGGGGAAAATGAAGCTGTGCAACACTGTCTGGGGAAAATGAAGCTGTGCAACACTGTCTGGGGAAAATGAAGCTGTGCAACACTTTGTCTTTGGAAAATGAAGCTGTGCAACACTGTCTGGGGGGAAAATTAAGCTGTGCAACACTGTCTGGGGGGAAAATTAAGCTGTGCAACACTTTGTCTGGGAAACTGAAGCTGTGCAACACTTTGTCTGGGGAAAATGAAGCTGTGCAACACTGTCCGGGGGGGGGAACTGAAGTGAATATTGTGGTGAGACTTTAAGAGGTGGACGCGTTGCTGCGCTCTATTCCTTAATAATATATGTGGTATTAACCTAGTTGTACTCACCTAGTTGTGTTTGCGGGGGTTGAGCTCCGGCTCTTTGGTCCCGCCTCTCAACTGTCAATCAACTGGTGTACAGGTTCCTGAGCCTATTGGGCTCTGTCATATCTACATTTTTGAAACTGTGTATGGAGTCAGCTTCCACCACAACACTACTTAATGCATTCCATTTGTTAACTACTCTGACACTGAAAAAATTCTTTCTAACGTCTCTGTGGCTCATGTGGGTACTAAGTTTCCACCTGTGTCCCCTGTTCCTGTCCCACCTGCGCTAAAGAGTTTGTCTTTGTCCACCCTGTCAATTCCCCTGAGAATTTTGTAGGTGGTTATCATGTCTCCCCTTACTCTTCTGTTTCCCAAGGGTTGTGAGGTTCAGCTCCCTTAGCCTTTTCTCGTAACTCATTCCTCTCAGTTCCGGGACCGGTGGTGTCTTGGTCAGACTGCGAGTTACATGCATCTACAGTTTAGCTGATCCGTCAACCTGTCCTCTTACAAGGAACGTCGCTTCTCCCTCGTATGCGTCATATACGGTCAAAAAAAAGAGTACCAGAAAATGGAAGCGGTTGGCGAAAGTGACGTACTGTCCCGTTTTCTGTTTTGGGTCCTCTGGTAGGTTAGGATAAGGACACGTTAAATTAACCGTTTTCCTGACGTTGGGGAGTCTCAGGAGGACGGGCTGGATCAGCAATTAATCAACTGGTTTGATAAACCAGGCCCAGGGGCCAGTGGTCACTGTGATCACTTCACGAGAGCCTCAACACCTGAGCAATACGGTACAACCACGAGGGTTTCAGACACGGTTAACTCAACCCTCACTGTTCAGGCTCTGACGCAGTCATCCACCTGGCTTCATGATCGACAATTCTTTAGGAAAGACGTGGGATTCGAAGCCGGGTCCGTGAGGTACAAGATACCACAACACCGTGAAGAGTAATGAGGGGCTCGAACCTGAAGGAATCACGATACCACTACCTTGTGCGGAGTTGTAAAGCTTTGAACCTGATATTTGACTAATTCTCATAGGCTGTGAAACGTCAGGTAGGCTGTGAAACGTCAGGTAGGCTGTGAAACGTCAGGTAGGCTGTGAAACGTCAGGTAGGCTGTGAAACGTCATCTAGGCTGTGAAACGTCAGGTATAGGCTGTGAAACGTCAGTTAGGCTGTGAAACGTCAGGTAGGCTGTGAAACGTCAGGTAGGCTGTGAAACGTCAGGTAGGCTGTGAAACGTCAGCTAGGCTGTGAAACGTCAGCTAGGCTGTGAAACGTCAACTAGGCTGTGAAACGTCAGCTAGGCTGTGAAACGTCAGCTAGGCTGTGAAACGTCAACTAGGCTGTGAAACGTCAGCTAGGCTGTGAAACGTCAGCTAGGCTGTGAAACATCAGCTAGGCTGTGAAACATCAGCTAGGCTGTGAAACGTCAGCTAGGCTGTGAAACGTCAGGTAGGCTGTGAAACGTCAGGTAGGCTGTGAAACGTCAGGTATAGGCTGTGAAACGTCAGCTAGGCTGTGAAACGTCAGCTAGGCTGTGAAACATCAACTAGGCTGTGAAACGTCAGCTAGGCTGTGAAACGTCAGCTAGGCTGTGAAACGTCAACTAGGCTGTGAAACGTCAGCTAGGCTGTGAAACGTCAGCTAGGCTGTGAAACATCAGCTAGGCTGTGAAACATCAGCTAGGCTGTGAAACGTCAGCTAGGCTGTGAAACGTCAGCTAGGCTGTGAAACATCAGCTAGGCTGTGAAACGTCAGCTAGGCTGTGAAACGTCAGCTAGGCTGTGAAACGTCAGCTAGGCTGTGAAACATCAGCTAGGCTGTGAAACGTCAGCTAGGCTGTGAAACGTCAACTAGGCTGTGAAACGTCAGCTAGGCTGTGAAACGTCAGCTAGGCTGTGAAACATCAACTAGGCTGTGAAACGTCAGCTAGGCTGTGAAACATCAACTAGGCTGTGAAACGTCAGCTAGGCTGTGAAACATCAGCTAGGCTGTGAAACGTCAGCTAGGCTGTGAAACATCAGCTAGGCTGTGAAACGTCAGCTAGGCTGTGAAACATCATCACAATTTATGTAACTAATCTTTGGTGGTTACAAAATCGAACTGTGAAGTTTTTCCAAATTCTAGGTTTTCACAGCACAAGAGAGGCAAGGTTTCTAGCCTCATTTTAAATTTTGTTTGTAAGTAATCGAAGTAAATATAGATTTTAATATATATATTGTGACCGACGACAGTATATGCAATGTTGTATATATTAAAAGTAGTATTGTTTTGGGGTTTTGTCGCTGAATCCCTCGCAATTTTGAAAGGAAATTAAAATAAAAAATATATTGTTTTTAACTCCTAAATTGTTTTCATTTCCATGCGATCTATATGAAACTTTCACATAATGCATTATATATTAGACGGTACAAATATTTTTCGTGTTTTTTGTCCGAATTCCAAATATTTG